CGCGCACACGCGCACACGCACACGCACACGCACACGCACACGAGCACACACACACACACTCATTGTGCGGCTTACTTCACTTCGCTTGGATTGTTCTGTCGTTTGTGCTTATGTCGTTCGCTTTGCTTCCTCAACAATGAAAGTTGGTGAACGAATTGAACAGAAATGGACAAGCTAGTGTCATGGAATGTAAACCAAACAGAATGTCAAGCAGACAGAAGAAGGCCAAACCAATATATTGAAATGTAAAGCAACGCACGGTATGCACGATTAAGTGTTAATTCAGGCCTATTTCGCCGAATTCGTTTGTGTTCAACTTAGATAAACGCATGCGCTTCGTTTCAGCACACTTCTTTACAACGCACTTACCATTCATTGAAAATCAGGGCTCGGTTCGTTCCCACTGTGTTCCTATTATTGCACAAGACACACGTTTTTGCCGACAATTTACTGATGCATTTAACATAACAAAATAACTCCTTCCTTGGAGGTAAAATAAATGTCGTCCCATAATCGGCAATGAAAGAGAGCTTCAATCTCCACTGCGTGTTCGTGTGTACATACATGGACAAACAGGCAGATTTATGTATATGTGAGCATACACGCTCAACATGCCCGGACACCAAAATCTTTAAAATTACCGATGGTTGTGTCAGCACTAGTTGTGGCCTTCCGGAACTTCTGGGCTGGAAGAACCCTAGTCCACAAGACTGCCATCCCGGACAGGTCACAGAATTTTTTCGGGCACGCCGATGATCACGGTAATGCCTGCAGCAATCTGGTTGAAAGCAATCTGCCAACAGATACGCTACCGGGAAAAATCTTCGGACTTTTCGGCACTCTCGTCCCGCTTCTTCGTGTACGTCCCGGTCCTTGGGAACGCAGCTTCTCCTGCGCGAGCTGGGACACCACGGCCTAAGTCGAGGCAGAGATTCCACACCACGAGCTGTCCAAAGCATGTCACGACATGTCACGAATGAAGGAAGAACCAAGCTGCTTGACAAAGCAGAAGCTTTGGGCTCTCCGGTTGCACATCTTTGACAATCTTCTCCACCTGTTGGGGCCGGAGCAGTCCATGATCTGCAGCCCCACGGCTCTACGGCTGGTTCCATGTCCGCTCAGCATGCTCGTGGAGGAATATGTTTTCCCGTCCGAGACGACCGGGTTTTCGGGTTGCACAAAAGCCTGCGGAGAGCATAGGCACGAAGAGGAACTCGCGATTGAATCTTGTCCAAACGGGGACACAATGCCCTTGCTCAGAAAAAACTACATGATCGAGGGGGATCTGCGCATGGTGTGTCAGCCTTCAGGTCCAGGTAAATCCGCTCCTGCTCGCGGAGGGCATCGAGGTCCGTTTTCCTCAAGAAATGGGGCAGCTGAATCAAAATTGTGGGGGGAAGGGAAGCGGGTTGGGTGGAAAGCTATCAGACGTGCAGCCTTCTCGGCATCAAGCCTCAGTGCATGGGCAGCGACTGAGGCAAAGCTGCTTGCGTGGCCTGCTTGGCCCCAAGGCCCACCCAACCACCCTCTCAATGCCTCTGGCTGTGACTGAGCTGGCTTAACGTTGCCTGGCTCACGAGTGGAAGTCGAAGTCTTGAGGTTCGCCAAGAATCCGAAGACTTCGGAACCTTTTGGGGCTTTGCTGAATTCCTTGAAAGGCAAGGCTCATGTTGAAGTAGTCAAAGGTCAATGGCAGCTGTATGAGGGTCAGCGGGCAGTCTGCCTGATGGATGTCACAGCCCTCTTCAACATGGCAGATTTCCTGACGCATACACTAATGCAAACCCGACACCTGTATCTTTAGTTCCTGCTGTAGCCATTTGCTGTTGCCGACGGCCAAATCCATGCAAGCAAAGACTGCTGCTTGGGATCCCTCGGGTTGCCTATTCGAGATGATGTCTATTGGTGTTGTGGGCATTGCTCTTGCCGTTGGCACTGCAAGTCACAATATCTGTAATCATCTTCTGGTGCACGACGTCCCCGGAGAAAACGACACCATCGTGGCACCTCCGAAAGGTTGGATCTAGCCTGCCTCGTACTCACTCCCTGCAATGACTGCCGCTGCTAAGCTGAACACGAGCTGCTCGGGGAATGCTAGACGGAACGAGCACACCTGGTCGCGAAGTATGGGCCTCGAGTCTCGAATATGTCCGCCTGGAATCTTCTTGATTTTCCTCGATTGCAGAATTGCAGGCAGCCCCAAAATGCTACGACACGGTCGATCTGCCGAACCAAACAAATCAAAAAGCGTGCCCTGGAAACACACAGATAGTAGCTCTGACTGACCGTTTGGCGAGCCCGGCCGCTTCTTGTTTGAAGTGTGTGTGTGTGTGTCTGTCTGTCTGTCTCTGTCTCTCTGTCTCTCTGTCTCTCTGTCTCTCTGTCTCTCTGTCTCTCTGTCTCTCTGTCTGTCTGTCTGTCCGTCTGTCTGTCTGTCTTTTCTCTCTTCTTCCTTCGGGCTTAAGGGG